AGAGAGAGAATAGGTAGGTAGGTAGGTAGGTAGGTAGGTAGGTAGGTAAAGGGAGGGAGGGAGAGAGGGGGGGAATACAGTAGATAGGTAGGAAGAGTGTGGGTAGGTAGGTAGAGGAATAAAGAGAGAGAAATACAGTAGATAGGAAGAGAGAAAGAATAGGTAGGTAGATGGATAGACAGAGACAAATAGAAAGAGAGAAATACAGTAGGTAGGTAGGGTGGGAGATAGAGGGATAGAGAGGGAGGGAGGGAGAAATACAGTAGGTAGGTAGGGAGAGAGAGAGAATAGGTAGGTAGGTAGGTAGGTAGGTAAAGGGAGGGAGGGAGAGAGGGGGGAATACAGTAGATAGGTAGGAAGAGTGTGGGTAGGTAGGTAGAGGAATAAAGAGAGAGAAATACAGTAGATAGGAAGAGAGAAAGAATAGGTAGGTAGATGGATAGACAGAGACAAATAGAAAGAGAGAAATACAGTAGGTAGGTAGGGTGGGAGATAGAGGGATAGAGAGGGGGGGAGGGAGAAATACAGTAGGTAGGTAGGGAGAGAGTAGGTAAGTAGGTAGATGTTTCCAGGTGTATTTATCCATGTGCATTAACAATTATACAATGATAATAATGTATTTATGCTTATTCAATGGATAATTTGTGATTTGATATACAATGGTAAGTAGTGAGTATAGAGATGCACAAAAACCTGTAACCAAACAACACGCTATATGAAACAGTTGAAGGTTACATGTTTTATATGTTTTGTTTGTCTTTTAAAAATATAAATAAAAAGCAGCAATGAATAGGAACAGCAGGCAAGTCAGCACAGCTCTTCAGCACCCACGCACAAAACATACCTCCAGGTTTAGCCCCAAAGGACAAGGCTGCAGTGGTGGAAGTGACAGCAGCTGCTGGAGCCAACGCTCCAAAGCCAGAACCTGCAACAAGACGACGAAAAGCATCAGCTTCCTGCATGTTTCCAGAAGGGGGGGCTCCATGCAGCACCCCGGCTTCTTCCTTTTCAGGCAAAGAGGCCCCTTCCAGATCAGCCCCCTCCCAGGCACTGCCCTCTCCTCAAAAGGAGAAACACCGGCTGCCAGGCACAATGGTCTGGCACAACCCAGGACTCAGAGGGTCCTAAAGGCTCCACCTAGCCGGCCCCCATCTCACCCTCACCAGTGGACGCTGTCCCGAGGCTGAAAGCCGGGGCTGCCTGCGATGCAGCGACTGTGCTGACAGCGGCGTTGGTGGAGGCAGGAACGATCCCGAAGGCCGGGCCGGTAGACGCCGTCTGCGGCGGGGCGCTCCCCAGCGAGGCGAGGCTGAAATTGGGGGCTCCTGTCTGGGCCGCTCCGCCAAAGCTGAAGCCTCCCGTGGGGGCGGCGGTTGGGGCAGCCTGAGCCGGCTGTGGCGTCGTCGTGGCCGATGAGCCGAACACGAACCCTGTGGGTGTCGCCGCCGCCGCCTGGGTGCCCGCAACGCTGCTGCTGGAGCCGGAGCCGGCCAGTCCGCCGCCACTGGCCAGCGCGAAGCCGGTGGCCAAGGGGGCGCCCGCTGTGGCGCTCGAGGCCCCCAAGGTCAGCTTCGGCGCGTTGCCCCTGCAGGAGGAGAAGGAAGGGAGGCGGTGGGGCGGCTTCTCCGGCGGGGGCAGCCCCTCGCTCGCCTCCGCCCTCCCCGCCCGCCAACGTTCGCACGGAGCAACACCCCCCCCCTCACCCCAGCGTGAACACGCCCCCCGCGGGAGTCGCCGCCGCTGCCGCCCCCGCGGCGGACGACGCCGGGGGCATCCCGAAGCTGAAGGCGGCGGGCTGCGCGGAGGCGGCGGGCGTCGTGAAGGAGAAGAGGCCGGCGGCGGGCTGGGCGGTCCCGGCGTTCGGGGCGGGGGAGCCGAAGCCGAAGGAGCCGCCGGTGCCCGCGCCCGACGAGATGGCCGAGGAGAAGGAGAAGCCGGCGGGTGCCGCGCTGCTGCTGGTGGTGGTGCCGCTCGCCGTCTTGGGTGTCCCGAAGCTGAAGCCGCCGGTGCCGCCGCCGCCGCTTGCGCCGAAGCCGAACTGACTCATGGCGCGTCTGTCTGGGCCCGAACACCCTCGCCGCTGTCGCCGCCGCCGCGCTTCCTGATGACGCTACGCGCCGGAAGTAGCGGCCCCGGAAGCCGTGCCGTTGCCGGGCAACGCGGCGGTGCAGAGCGGCCATGGCGACGCGCGCTCCACTCCCGGGCGACTCGCTGCTGGCGCTGGCCGAGCTGCTCTCCTGCGACCCGGGGGACAGCGACGAGGACAGCGCGGACGCGGTGAGGTCCGGCCCGGGCGCCGTGGCGGACGGTGGGGCGCCCCGGCCTGCCTGCCTGAACCCGCCGCTTTCTCTCCTCAGGCGCAAGGCCCCGCGGGCGGCCGCTCCGGCCCGGGGAGTATCGGGCCCCTGAAGGCTGGCGGCGCCTCGAGTGAGTCGGCGAGGGCGAGAGGGAGGGCCCGCCTGTCCTCAGCCTGCCCGTCGGCTCCCGGAGGCCGCGGAAGCCCCGTCTCACAGCCCCGTCTCTTCTCGCAGCCGCCCCGCTGACGCCCGTGGACGGCAAGGCCATCTGGAGCGCCGAGGAGGTGCCCGAAGGGAGCGCGGGCGACGCCTCGTGGGACCCCCGGGAGCAGCCGGAGTACGTCCCCGCGGCGCAGCTGGAGAAGCGGCCCTCTTCCGAAGTGCGGCCATCCCGGGGCTGCCCCCTATAGCCTTCCTGGACGAGCCGGGGAAGGAAAGCCAGCGGGCTCTGAGACAGCCTGATCCAAACCGGGGCTCGAGGGGTGGAGAGGGAGGGGTCAACCTAGGACAGGATTTCCCACTGATTTGCTGCTCTGCCAGTTTTTCCTCTTGGTTTGGGAGTGGCTCAAATGGGGAGGATAAGCAGGGGATTTCTCTTTGTGGGGAAAAAGCATCCACTCCTCCATAGATGGTCTGAGAAAGGATGTGGTTCTGTGAAGCATCCACTGACTCCCAGTTCTTTACAGGTATGAGATTATGTTCAAGCAGCACGTGACTTCTGAGGATCTGTTCCTAGGCATGAGCAGAAAGGACCCCTCCACTGCCTGCTGCGAAGACATGCTGGTAAGAAGTCTCTCTGGGCGGGTCCTTCGAGGCTTTTCACAACAAAAGCTACAGGGTCTTCTTGGAGTTGTGAATTTCAAAAGTTTGGCAACTGTCCTTTCTCTGTGTGCATTATTATGAAGCGTCTAACCTCTAACATTTCATACGTCTGAGATGACTCTTTCTCTGCCACCTGAACTGCTGTGTCTAAATATTGGAGGATATCCTTTAGCCTCCCTTTTCCTAGTCAAAGGATGCCCCCAGCTTTGGCAAGAAGTTGTGCAGTGATTCCAGAACCTCTCGCTTTGTTCTGTGGTTTAAAACAGAAAAGCAACAGTGTAACACCTCTTGCATGCCTCCCTTCCTATTGAAAACAAGGTTGGATGCACGAAGGAGTCATTTAACATAAGTAATCTCTTTTCCTCACTTTTTCTTTTTCCAATTTCAGATTAAGATTAAACTGCCGGACACAAAAGCTTCGGACATTACCCTTGATATACAAGAGAAGCTCCTTGATTTTCGGAGTCCCCAGAAGTACGCTGAAGAATTTATTTTTCGTGAGAGAGTTCTTATATTGCCTTTAGACATTAACACTCCAATAATATTTGGGATGTCTTGGCTGTGAGGTTGGAGCTACAGAGCAAGCAGAAGCAGATGTCTGCCTTCTCTTGATGCTGGGATAAGTCTCCCATGCCACAGGCCTATGGAGCTGTGGGCATAGTAACTTCTTATTGGGACAGTCTCTGAGCTTTATATGCCTCCTCTCTCTGATTCCCCCCCCCCTTGTGTTCTGACCCACCCCCCTCAGTCCAGGAAAGAAAGCCAAAACCCACGTAACTAAAAAGGTTTCTTTTAATCAGTCAAGACTCTCGTTGGCGGCAAGCCACATAAAGAGATAAGCACTCTGGCAGCAAGTCCTACAAAGCTTGGCAGCAATGCACGCAAACTCTGGCAGCAATCCAGCCTGCGAAGTTTGTTTCTGGTTAGTCCTTAACGTGAACGTTGACTTCTGCCAAAAGGGCGTGGCACAAACAGTCTCTTTTATAATCAGGAGAGGATCTTAATCAGCATCAGCTAAACGCACTCATCTCCTATCATTACACAGTTGTTCTTGCCGCCGAGTAGCCCTTCGACTGCGTGCATCCCGAAACAACTCACAGGTGTTTTCCTGAACACTCCCTCTGATCCAAGGCTCCTCCTCCATCTGGTGGCCAATCAGTCTCTCCTCGCCCTGCTTGGAGTCGGCACCCTGTACGGGGTTCTCCACCTCCTCC